TCATGGGGCGGCATCGCACTCACTGGTATACTGTTTTTGCCCAAAGAAAGCCAACAGGCCTCTCCCCAGATTGTTAGCTGGGACTCGTAGAAGGCAATGCTCAGAAATGCTTATTCCTCACATGCAAAAGCCACACTCCCAATTTTCTGTAGGGAAGGTGAGGTGGCCCTGGGCCAGGGCACTGTGGGTAACCCCTATCTGAACACAGATGGGGCTGGAACACAAGAGTCACCTGAGTTCCTAGCACCCTCCCACCACCTCTGTACTTTGGGGAGTGAGTTCTCCCAGACCTCTTTGGACAGTATTTCCATTCCACCTCCTGGGCAGGAAGTCTTTCTCTGAATCTACTTTTTATGATATAGTAAAGTAATACCAGCAATCGGAGGCTAAACAGGAAGATGGCTGCTAGTTCAAGGCCAGCTTGGCCCAAGTAGTGAGTTGCAGGACAGCCTAACTGGAGACCCTGTCTTAAGAATTTAAAAAAAAAAAAAGAAAGAAAATCAAACCCAAAACCTACAGATGTAACAACTACCCAGATAGCCACTCCCACAGCTGCCTGGAGGTCACAGGCTATGTGAGTTCCTGGATGGGAACAGAATGGAGGACTGATCTCCTCAGTGCTGGAAGCTCTTGAGGTGACAAGCATGTACATGTCCTCTGTGGAATGGCTTACCCAGCTCTTGAATCAATCTGTGTGTAGCAACATGGACTGAGGTAATACTTCAAGAACTTCCTTAGTTGGGCCTGGGAGAGTTAGAGCTGGGCAGTCTCCATCCTTCCTGAGAGCTCTAGGAGAGGGTAGGGGCTTCCCAACAGAGATAGAGATGGCCAGGCCTCCAGCCCAGCCCCACCTGGCTTCAGATGACCAGTGTGCATCCTCTCAAAGACCCCAGGACCAAGTGCTCTCATGTGCTCAGCCCATGCTTTAAAAACCCAAGGTGTCTCAGATTCAACCCCAGTAGACTGGAAGCTTCCAGTCTTGGCTAGCAACCCGCTCCACCCAGTTCCCCAAGGTAGGGCAGCTCAGGGCAACCCAAACACCTGCCTCTATTCTTTTCTACCATACTTTTATACAGTCTACTAGGCTCAGGTGCCCACAATGCTACTAAACTTTAAGCTATCTGTGGCTTTCTTTTTTAAAATTTTATTTATTTTCTTTTATGTGAATGTATGTATCACCTGCATGTATGTAAGTGCACCCGTATCATGCAGTCAGTGCCTGTGGCGGTCAAAAGAGGCTGTTGGATCCCCTGGAACAGGAGTTACAGATAGTTGTTAGCTGTGGGTGCTGGGAACCAAACCTGGGTCCTCTGCAGGAGCAGCCAGTGCTCATAACTGCTGAGCCATCTCTTTAGCCCTGATCCTGTGGCTTTCTAAATTGCATTGTTTAAAGAGCATAATTTACAGTAGGGTTTAAAGATTAAGTGAAGCTTAAAATTTAAGTAAAAAAAATTGGGGGGGGTCTTTTTTTTGAGACAGGGTCTCCCTGTAATTCCAGCTGGCCTAGAACTCACTATGTAGACCAGGCTGGCCTGGAACTCACAGAGATCTGCCTTTCTCTACCTCCCAAGTGCTGGGATTAAAGGCATGAGCCACCATGCCCGACCTTAAGTAAAAATTTTAAATTAAGTCATATGAGCTTGCTTACTTATTTCTCTTAAATAACTTTTTATTGTAAATGAAATGGTAAATGGTTTTATTCAGTCCTCTAAATTCTTTAATTACATTTATTTGTGAGTGTGTGTGTGTGTGTGTGTGTGTGCGTGTGTGTGTGTGTGTGTGTGTGTGTGTGTGTGTGTGTGTGAGAGAGAGAGCTTGCAGGAGTCAGTTCCTTCCTACCATGTGAGTCCTGGAGATTGAACTTAGGTTGTCAGGTTTGTCAGCAAATGCCTTTATCAACTGTGCCATCTTGCCAGCCAATAAGGTGGTTTTATGAGGTATATTTTTTAGATTTAAGTATGAGACAGGAATGCTAATATGGTAAAACAGAAGGTTACGAACTTTCTACCCTAAGTAAGCACAGTGTTGTTTTTAACATCCTGGTTTGGGGTATTTTTAGGAAAATATACATTCTCTCTGCAGGCAACTTGTTTGGCTTTATCCGCTGTGTTGAAGTTTCTCGACTCCTTCAGCAGAGAAGGAAAACCAAATCCAAGGGCAGGGACATGTTTCCCTTTCCAGGTCCCCTTCATTTTCTGTGTTTCTAGTCTGCTTCAGTAAAGGCTGTAAACTTGATGTGAATATATAGTTAAACACCCTGAGAAGTGGAACAGAGCGTGTTCTCAAGGGAAACGTTCCCTCTTTTCCAGTTGTCTCTACTTCTTTCTGGTCCTCTTGGCCCCAGGACTACATCCCTGGGGAAGCCCACCCTGAGACCATTAGATGACAGCAGCAAGTAGGTAAGTGTCACACTGATGGCAGAATATGGTGGTCCATCTGTTATACTAGAAAAGAGCAATTCAGACTCCGATGCACCTACCTCTGTCTCTCTTCCCCACCTTGTAGCATTCCGGTGTAGCATTTATACCCCTCAAAGAGCTTCAGTTCTTCTAAGCATTCAGGGCCTTGGTAAGTAGAAGCCCATATGTTTTCCCTTCACCCCATACTTCTGTTTCCTACAAAGGAAGTATATAATGTCAAGTAATAGAAGGTCCTCCCACAAGGCCCATTGGTCTTTAAGCCAGAGTAGGGGTAGAGAGATGAGGAAGGACTCAAGAGAGGCTCATGGGGAATAACATTTAAAATTTGATTCTTAGGCTCTGACCTTAAGAATCTGATTCAAAGTACATAACTATAGTCCCTCTCACAAAGCTGAGAGAGGAGGAGGCCTATGTTAGCCCAGGATTTTGAGGTCAGCCTAGGCTATATAATTTGACCTTATCTCAAACAACAGTGAAAATAATTCTCTGAGTTTTGGGTTAGGGGTATAGCTTATGCTTGCCTGACATACACAAGGCCCTGTGTTTAAGCACTAACATTGCCAAAAAAAAAACAGAATAAAAACAAAATCTTGTTCTGGTGATAGACATGCCAGTTACTCTGGCCTGATCATGACACGTTGTATATGTGATTGAATGTCAAAGTGTACTCCATAAATGCATAAGATTACTATATGGCAATTAAAAATATATTTGCCAGGCGTGGTGGCGCACGCCTTTAACCCCAGCACTTGGGAGGCAGAGGCAGGCAGATCTCTGTGAGTTCAAGGCCAGCCTGGTCTGCATAGTGAGTTCCAGGACAGCTGGGGCTACAGGAAGACCCTGTCTCAAAAAGACATATATATGTAATATTTTTCTAAAAGGTTCTACTCTGCAAAGTCTGAATTTAGGCCTGGAAACTTACACCCTAACAAGTGATTCTGTTGTAGGCCTAGGCCCACACATGAAGATGGGGTGATACAGAGAAGTCCTTCCTGTATGCTGCAGCGGAGTTATATCCTATAAACCCCTTTCTGCAAGTCGAAAATATCCCAACACATCTAACTACTAAACACCACAGTTAGTAGCACAGTATCATTATCTGTTTACCCTAATGATCCTAATGACTGATTGGGAATTGGGGTTCACTGCTGCTGTCCAGGCTCATGAAGGAATATTGTAGTACATGTCACTAGCTGAGAAAATTTCAAAATTCAAAGTACAGTTTCTAATGGATGCATACTGCTTCCGCACCAGTGTAAAAGCAAAAAATCTGAATTCAGCAACCATTGTAAGCTGACAAGTGTTTGGAGGACAGCAGAACCTTAACAAAGAAATCATTTATTAAAAATATCTTACCTGTATATGTGCCTGCATGTATGCAAGTGTACCTATTTCATGCAGTGCAAGGTGGAGGTTAGAAACAGGGTGTCAGATTCCCCTGGAACTGAAGTTACAGCTGGTTGTTGGCTGCTGGGTGGGTGCTGAGACTCGAACCTCGGTCCTCTACAGGAGAGACCAGTGCTCCTAACCACTGAGCCAACTCCCCAGCCCCATTCTTAGGCATCTATTTCATGTTTTGAACTGGTATGTCGTTGTTCATGACTGAGAAACATTTGCACAGCACTGAACTCCCTGACTCTGCCGTGCTTGTGTTGTGTGTGGGACAGGGAACGGTAAAAGGTGTGACCACATAGAAAGCTATTTCTCAACTTCCTACAAAAAGTGACAAGTTGGCCATTTCAAGATTTGTGAAACACATTAACCAAAATAACTGTATTACCTAAGCAGAAGTACTGTAACTCCCTGCTTGTAATGCAGAGCCAGTACACGAAGGCACTATTACCTTATAAAAGTAACTTTCTGTGCTTCAGTTTCCCCATCTGTAAAATGACCGATATATGACACTATATAATGCCTGTTTCGATGACTTGATAAGAGGATTAAACAGGACACTTACATATGTAATGGATATAGAATCTACATATTTGGTAAATATCCATTACATTTTTAGGTGAACACCACAAAATCATTGTGAGTGCACAATGATACAAGGGTTCCAGAGGCAAAGTGAAAAATGTCGAGTTCAATTTATCTTCGATTTAATGAGTTTGAATGAATTAGCGTAACTACAGGGTCATCCATAGTTGGTTGGTTTAGGGTTTTAGCCTTTGGAGGAGCTGCGCGCCTCGTGGTTCTGTCTCCTTTAATCCCAGCTCTTGGAGGACCGGAAGCACCCAGGCTCAAGCCGGGCTCCCGAGGGAGCAGAACGCAGGGGGCGGGAACAGAACGCAGGCGGCGGGGGCAGAACCCAGCCGGCGGAGCAGAACCCAGGCGGTGGGGGCAGAACGTAGGCGGCGGGGGCAGAACCCAGGCGGCGGGGGCAGAACCCAGCCGGCGGAGCAGAACACAGGCGGCGGGGGCAGAACGCAGGCGGCGGGGGCAGAACGCACTCGGCGGGGGCAGGACGCAGGCGGCGGGGGCAGAACCCAGCCGGCGGAGCAGAACGCAGCCCGCGGGAAGCCGGCCGAGCCGATCGGTGGCCGAGGTCCTGGGCTCCGCCCCGCCCCGCCCCGAGGATGCGGTCTGCAGCCCGGAGCCTGCGCGGCCACGTGACGGCCGCTTTAAGAGCCGGCGGCGCAGGGTCCCGCCCCTCCCGCCGGCCACGGTCTCCTCCCGGCGCCCGGCTTCGTGGACCCTGCAGCCCGCGGCGGCCGCGCGTCCGGACCGCACGATGACAGGTACGCGCGGCGCCGCCCTCCCGTCCCGGGGAGCTCCGGCCGGTGGCGGCCCCGGGCCGCAGGAAGGCGTAGCCGGGCCGAGCGCTGGCCTCCGCCGCCGCTTCCGTGTCGTCCTCCGCCCGGGTGAAGGGCGGGCGGCCGGGTTGGGGGAGACTCCGGGGCTCCGGTGCACCCGGTCCCCGAGGAGGGGCGCGGCCGGGCGGGACGCCGGAAAGACCGACTCCCGGGCTGCGGTGCGGCCCTGGCTTCCACGCCGAGCCTAGTTTAGGCCTGTGCGGCC